TGTCAACATTGACTTTAAATCGGGTGGTATTTATACGTGTCTTTTTCAACAATATTTAAAAGTTGTGATAAAACTTTCATAGATTTCTCATAGATGGCGCTACGACTAAAAAGTCGTCGAAAAACCAAATACACGACGCAAGCACATAGAAAAATTCGTTGGGTCCGTTGGTTCGTTCCGTGGCTTAGTTGGTATAGCATCTGACACGGTATGCAAGAAGACGTCGGTTCGAATCCGACCGGATCAAAGGATTTTTTTCTGAGTGTTCAATCTTTGTATTAATGATTACAACAAACTAATGGAGTAATTTCACAAAAAATAATTGAATATCAATTCAATAAAAATTTAAAAATTGTTTTTGTTAAAATTCATCTTAACTGACTTCACTTATTCTATCATAAAAAATTACGTGTGCGACGGTAATTAGCATTAAAGCTCCCGCGCACGAATGTTTCCATAAATGTTTTGACGAGTGGCGAAGCGAGTAGCGAGCACGATTGAGTAAATCCACTTAGATCTATCTGGTCAAGTCGTTCACAGCAAGGAACATCATCACCTGAACCAGAGGCTTCCAAATTATTTTGTCTCATGAACCACGTGCTTTTTTCTATTTTGTGTAGACCCCTTGAATTTCTAGTATGGATTTTTTTATATAACTCCAAATGTGTTTTTGACATCTAACACACATTTACTTTGATAAGTTTAATTTTGTAAAACTTTGTAAAAACAAACACGTGTTTACACATTGTTATACAGAAAATAAACTATTTCTTGCAGTCTAAATCATATATATTTGTTTCTTTTTCAAACAAACCAACGTAGTAACAGCAGCTCCTTGTGAAAGAGTTCGTCCAGGGAAGTACTGGCTACTTTACCTATTTCTGCCGCCAAGCAGTGATGTCAGCATTACTGTGTTCCGGTTTTGCGGGGTAAGGGCGCTGGTGAAATTATAGGTACATGGGACTTATCAACTTATGATAACTTTGCGATTAAAAGCTCTGAGTGGCCCTGCAACGTTATGGACAGGCGTGTAGCTTACCATCAGGTGCACGACTTGTTCATCCCGTCACTTGATACTATAGAAAAAGCCTTTCGGACCCTTTACAGGTCCCATTGTCACGCCTGATTAAGGTGGTGAAGTCATCAGCCAGTTACGTCGAATCTGAATGCAACCCGCCTTATTTTTATCTATACTCACAAAAGTTATTAATTAAATACCTTATTTTTAATTTTAACGTATTTAATTAATAACTTACGTTAATATAATAATAAATTGGGTGGTTTGCGTTTCTTGCGTTAATAGGGGCCCTCCGGATTCAATATGTAGCTTGTCAGGGATGTTCGCAGAAGCAAGAGGTGACTGCTTCTACGCGACCATGCGGGCCAGCCCCAACCCCATCCTGAGCTCGATAGCGGACAGGTTCGACTGTCCATACGTGAGGCACTGCTGTGAATTTTATGTTTCCAGCAGTATCTATTATGTATAATTTTGTAGGTACTTACTAACATTAGCATTAAGTGATTTCATTAACAAATAATGTAATATAGACATAATGAGGTTAATGACTTCACCATTTCAGTCAGCTGTAACCATAGGATCTGTTAAGATCCCGAAACGTAGGTTTGTTTAAAAAAAATACATACGCAATTAAATCCGGGAAAAATTGTTACATTTCCTACTTATATGTTTATCTAACCGAATAAACATTCTATCTTGTTTGTTGTGAAATGTTCACTTCACAGGTAAATTGTATCTCTATTATAAAAAAAGTATTATGGAAAAAGCACTGTTCATGTAATGAGGATTATTCAAAAAAAGGAAAGTCAAAAATTTGGTGACTCTCGCGGACGCCCATTAACGTCTCATGCATTGGGGACCTGGTCGCCCAACGGTTTGCACTATGAACACAAGTCCCGGATTCGATTCCCTGTGGAACCAATTTAGGCAATTAACTTTTCTGATGTGTGAGTGTTGTGAGAAGTGTCCCAGAATGAATTCCGTTGCTCTGATACACATAGTACAGGGAATACCCTAATTTGAGACCAGGCAATTGGTGTGTTTGTCTGGTACATTATTAATTTAGATATTATGCACCCCCTTTTTTTTACTAACAACGACCCCTAGTGACTTGGAGTATCATGGATATAGACCACTTTGGGAACCGTCGACCTAAACAAAAGAAACAGCCGGCTGGGCGTACGTCCACTTAATTTCAAACTTTGAATCCTTCTCTAATTCGTTTTCTCCGTTATTCTTACTCTGGTTTCTGTCATCATTCCGATCAAAATTGTTAAAGCGAGAGGACGTGCTCATGAAGTATGCTCATTTAAAATTTCAACTTCACATGATTTACTTCCTTGTTCATCATTAGAATACGTATATAGGCCCTCTTGGGACTTTTGTTCTTTAATTTTTTACATCTAATAAATTCACGCGGACTAGCCCTTATTTTACTTTCACGGAGGCTAGGCCACGAGGGTACTAAAGGGACGCTTTCTCATAATAAAAATAAGAAAAAAAAATAACAAACATTTTATTGAAATGAGATCTTTATTTAGACATAACATATAACAAAAATTTTACTACACTTATTTAGTTCTTTTTTTTATAATATCAGGTGATGGGACAAACAAGTCGTGCGCCTGTTGGTAAGCTACACGCCTGTCCGTAACAGTTGCAGTGCCACTCACGAGCTTTAAATCGCAAAGATCTGAGGGGCACTGCCACTGCCGTCACCCTGAGACATAAGTTGACAAGTCCCATGTGCCTGTAATTTCACCAGCACCCTTACCCTTCAAAACCGGAACACAGTAATGCTGACATTAACTGCTTGGCGGCAGAAGTAGGTAAGGTTAAATTGTTTAATAAAGTCTATTATATTATTTTACCATCGAAGTTTGCTATTAATCTAAATTATTCTAACAAATTGATTTTACATTGCTCAGTTAGACTCCAAGAAGAGTTTTTAAGATCTATATATAAATTCCGTTTGTACCAGTAGATTTTTTTCTAAGTTAACTAGTAGCTTTTCTATAGTAACGCCCAGATTTTAATTTGATACTCATTCTAACCAGGAATTTGTACGTTTAATATAATAAAGCCACATGTGATCTTACGTGCTTTTATTACATGAAAGTTATGAACAAATACCAACTACACGAAAAATATTATAAATATGTTTATGTGACATTTTATAACCCTCTTATATAAGCATTTATTTATTTATTTATAATAAGACTCTTGTGGACTTAGCCTTGGTTCACACGACATTGTCCTGCACGTATCGAGTACACAACCAGAAATAGAGACGAAATGTTATTTAATTTGTTTGAAAACTATTCTGCCAAATCATTACGATGACAACAGCGCTCCTATTGGCCAGCCCAAATTCGAAACAATTGACGGGTGTCATCAATAGTGTCATATCAATTTTACCAGTTTAATGGACGAAAATTGAAAAATTACATATTTAATTACTGATGAAATGTGATTCGGTATGTAACACCACCGAATGGAACAGCCCCCCATTGTTAGAGAAATTATCTTTATTACAATAAATACAGAATATTTTTGCAATATACGGAGACGTACACACAGATCAGTTGTTGGCACTGTACTATTCCAGCTTTCTAATTCGTAATTTCAGCGCAAACGAGAGTTGATATTTAAAATGATATAAGGCCCATTTCTCTGATGAGTTGCCAGGGATAGATGGCCTGCATATTATCAATATAATTCGTTTATAAGCGGATAGCCACATTATTCACACAACAATCGCCCTGAGAACACGTCTGTGATATATCCACGCTTTGTTACATTTTTATATTGACATAGAAGACGCCAACGGCTTTGCCGCTGGAAGAACGTAAGGTATTGTGTTTATCCAATGAATCAAGAAGCAGTGCGTATAAACACATTTGAAAAATTGTAAAATCTGAGAGATGATGAAAATAAACGGGCTTTTCTTCCACTAAAAGTGTCAATAAATCGTAGTCCACGGAAGATTCACCGGGCATTTCGTATCAATAAAATTATTTCGTGCCCTCCTTGAAATATATACGTCAATACTAGACAGCATATTCGGCGACTGTTTTCGCGCCGTGTGAAGGAGATGCATTAATACTATGCGCCACTGTACACCGAATACCTTAAAGTTCATTCGATTGGCTTGACAAGTCCGTTGCGTATTCGATAAACGTATAGAGCTATGGGCGTTTTTTTTGCAGGACAAGCATCGTGTGAACGTGGGTGTACGGTTTACAACCGCACATTTTTCTTCCGCTTACCTTGCGCTCT